CCGAGGGGCCCAGGGAGAGAGTGCTTTGTGCTCTGACAACGCGGGCCAGCAAAGAGGGAGCTGGGACTGTTTTCTGCTCCAACGCTTCTTGGCAGGGTGTTTAACCAGTATCGCTGCACTGTGCTGCTTCCAGGTGAAAGATTTGGAGGAAGAGACTAGACTAGACAATAAACAGAATCAACAGCGAAACAGTTTTTTTTTATGCATTTTTAAATAAAACAAGTATTGCACAGCACAGTTCATGAAGCTGAGACCCTCCACAAATCCAACAATATCCAAATGAACCATTTTTGAAGCTTCATTACACAAACATTTTGTTTATAATTAGGTTAGGAAGACATTTTAAGCTTTGAAACTTGCAGGATGTTTTAATAATACAAAGGCCACTTTTATGTCAAAATATCAATGCAAATTTTATTTCTCATATCACAAACCCTTTAATATTCTAAAATAAATATACAACTTTAATTATACTTGTCTATCTGCTTCTCTATTGCTATACATTTAAATAATATGCATTGAAATTAATGCAACAACCTTGTGAAGTACCTCACTGTACCTGTATGATGACAACAGAGTATGACTTAACTTAAAGCTTGACATCTATCAAAATGTCGAAGAATCTACTCAACATTTCCATGAAAGGGGCTTCTGAAAGGCTTCCTGAAACAACCCATAATCTCGTTCAATCCTTTCCTCCATCTCTGCAGGGCTTCATAGTGACCCGCTCCATTAAAAAATAGCTGTATGAGATGAGGATAGCGGAGCAAGACATTCAAACTTGATAAATGACTTTTTAGGAGGCTCTGCCATGATAGCACTTTACTGCTTGCTTTGCCATTTTCAGAGCCTTCATCATTAAAGTAATTTGGCTTCAAGGCTTAAACTCTCCATTCATTTATAATCAAATGAGGGAACTTGATGATGAACTAATTCATTCATCAGATTCTTATGAACAATGGCCATCTGAGATGGAATAAAGGAGGCAGATTTCTATGGCAGTGCCACCCATATCAAAGGGCACATTGAAGGCACTTGCTGGCACAAAACTTATATCTCGTCTGAAAAAGAAAAGAAAAAAAAGAGGAGGAGTGAAGAAAAGAGAAGAACATTTGGGACATCTCTGTGGACAAAAAAAGTCATAATTTTCATTCAGTCTAAAAACCAAGTCACAAAGCCTATTCATTGTACAGTATTTGGATGCTGATTTTGAATAAAGTGACCATAGAGGCTGAAAAGTGAATAAAACATTTGAGCAATGGTAAATTTGCCATAATAAATAGTGACAGGAGATCAAACAGACCGCCTGGGGACATTCTCAGATTAACAATTGTATGTAGACCGACTCGAATAACACCAAAGTAAATGTATGAGCAGGTCTGTGGAGCCTCACTCCATAAGGCTCAAGGCCATGGAGAAATAAAATACACCTACACATAAATGCTGGCACGGGCATGTACACATGCATTTATAGGCAACTAACCACATAAAATATCCTTAAAGAAAGTGGCTACAGCATTTATACCACTGAAGGTCTCTGTGTGGCATATTTTGCATCTGTACAACAAGTGAAACTTTAGAACTTTAGTCCTAGTCAGATTTTATGACAATGATAAAACACATGAAAAACAAAACTGCAACTTACAGTACAACTCACAGATGGAATAACATGCTTCTGTTTACACATGCCAAAAATCCTGCTAAAACAAATATAATGTAAAGTCTAATTTTTAAATAATATCTCACAGTGTAACTTAATTTCTCATAAATCTGACTTAAGTCATAATTGTAAGATATAAAATAGCAATTGTAACATTGTGACATTTTTTATGTCACAGTTACATGAAATAAAGCTGCAATTGCGAGATATAGTTGCAAATGACAAGAAATAAAGTTGCAAATATGAGAAAAAGTCACTATAACTAAGAGCCTCTTAAACAAATACAGCTAAACTGCAGTTTACAACTAGACAAAAGCATTTTTTCTGACCTCAAAGAAAAGACAGCACACTATGGCATAATTATCATATAGAGTTATAGTTTCACTGTCAGCTTCTAGTAGACATATGAATTATGAAATCCGTGATGTAAAATGTTTTGGACATTACTTTTACAAGAAGCTACTACTGCCACCAAAGACCAAAAGTATGGGCACGCAAGAGGAAAAGGAAAATAAAGAGGGACAGAGAGGAAGGAAAGTAAGAAGAGAGACAGAGTGTGGCATTGAGGCCACGGCGGCCGTATGTTTGACATTGGAAATGGTTTAGAGCAGAAGGAACTGGCCATTTCTATCTCTAATTAAAGGCTTTGGCTCACATGACCATATACAGGTGCACCAACACCAGACTGCAGAGCTGGGAAGAAAGGCCTCCTTGTGTGTGGTGAGGCTATGGTCGCTCAGCAGGAGTCTACACACACACACACACACACACACACACACACTCACTCACAGAGGATGCAGCCAAGTAGTGCAGACATTGACATTCATTACCTTCACTACAATTTCAAGTGACAGAAAAAAAACTATGCAAAGTAATCATTATTTTACAAGTTCTTCCCTTCTCACTTCCTGTTCTGCTCACATGCTCCCTTTTCTCCACACAACTCACTTCATTGGTTACTTGTGGTCATTTGTGAGCAACTCCAGCGGTCAGATTGCTATGGCGCTATTTTTATACTCTTATGAAACTCCAGGAATCACAAGATCTCAGACTGCAGGAGGCACAAAAAATTGTTTCACATAGCAAACAAATTGAACTTAAGATTTGATGGGCAACATTTATATTTCACATTTTCATAGATTTTATATATACTGTATT